TAGAGTAAGTGGGTGGCCACCCCTTCTCAACGCAACTCCCTTCCCCAGGAACTCACTTGGCCAGCAATGTTCTGTGATTCCTCTCAGATCCCACCACCTATTTGACTAATTTTTCACTAACTTGAGGAAACCCACCCTTTCTCTGTTCACTTTATTTAGAACAAATAATTTCTAAGGGTTCACAAGGTTTACTAAAACTATAAAGTGTTGGTCTTTGTTTTAGAAATCTTCACATTGGCCTTGAGAGGTGAGTGCTATTATCACAGTCTTGACTTTGTAGATGGGGAGCTTAAGGTACAGAGAATGTAAATGTAGTGGATGTCCTTTCTGACTGAAAACCCGGGGCTCTCCCTCCCATCAGAAATTCCAGCATTTGATGGAAGCTTCGATCATACTGAGTTGATAAAGATGCTGAGATCACAGAGCTCAAGATGCAATATGGCTCCCTGGGCTCTCAGAGCTTACTGCCAACTAGCAGGTGTTAAAAAAGGTACAAATAAATGACTGATATAATTTCAATAGTGCTAAGTGTTATGAATTTAATATCCTAAAAAAATGTGCTAGGCACTGCGGGGTGTTCAAACAAGGCCTTTGTGAGGCAGTAACATTGGGGTAATAGCTAAAGAAAGTGAAGAAACCCCAAGGAAAAGCCTTCTAGACTAAGGAACAGCAGGTGCAGAAGTCCTGAGGTGGACCAGGGTGAAGGAGGCCAGCGTGGGAAGGTGCTGAGTGGCTGGGAGAGTATCACATCTGCTACAGCAGCATCAGGCACAGTCTTGGAGCCTGTGGGAATGGCAAGGAGTTTGGATGTGATTCTAAGGGTGACGGGACGTCTCAGAAAAAAATCCTTCAGAGGTGAAGGCTCTGGGACTCATGGCTACTAGGCCATTCCTGATCCAATGTCCCTGACGTAATCACAAAAGCGTTACCACACACACCGACACCACCTTCGATCTAGAATCCACGGTGGCCACACTAGACGATATACTGAGTCTTCCTGTCTGAGCTGGCCTCTGTGTCTCCCCTGCAACCTGCAATTCTGGCATGAAAAGTCTTCAGCTCTCCAATTAAAATTGGAATACTCTTGTAGAGGAGGCGCAGTGAACAAATTCATCTTTGACAATTTTAATGGTGTTTTTGATTAAAATAATATTTCTGAGGAATGTGTGTGGCTCTGATGAAAATCTTATTGTAGCTGAAGTGTCTGTGGCATTTTTCATCACAAAGCATGCATACACATGGGCTAATATAAATAAATGAAAGAAAATGAGACTCTCTAAGTTCATCACAGATAGAATATTATGAGAGTTTCATTTATAAGTTATGCATAATAAGACTGCAGACTTCCTAAATATAGTGTCACATGAGGACTCCTGGCAAGATTATCACTTTTTCGTTCCGCTATTTGCTCAAGAGGAAACTCAGAGATTTAAGAAAAAGAGGTGTGGGAGGCTGCAGGCCAATTCAGCCCGGAGAAATGTCTGATTTCACCCACACTGTATTAAAAAATCCACTTCAGTAATAAGACATTTCACTGGAACATTGTATTTCTGGTTTCTCTTGAAATGGGTGACACTTGAGGTACGTGAGGACAGTCGGCACACATTTCTGTCAGACAATAGTAGCCTGGAGTTAGGTGATGTGAAGTAAAGAGCTGACAAGCTGGAGAAGCCGAAAGTGAAAGGTAGAGCCACACACCTACCTTGTACGAGGCCGTGTGTGAAGCAACGCTTTCTGACACGTGGGGGAGGCCCAGGGCCGTCTATGTATGACTGAGCAAATGCACAGAATCAGGGCCTCGCGCTTTACAAAGAAAAAGGAAAGAAGAGGTAGGAGAACTTATACACATGAGCCAAAGCGCTTCCTTCCTGAAGGGGGGAGTCTGCTAATGTTGCAAATGTTGGATGTTGACAAGGTAGTGAGGTATAAACGTAACATTGAGAGTCACAGAAGCAACTACCAGGAGAGGAAGCCAGGAGTGAAGGTGACATGATCTGGCTCCCAAGGGCTGAGGTAACGGAGTGCCCCATGCTGGCTGCTTGAACCACAGAAATGTCTTCTCTCTGTAGCCAGAAGTCCAGAGTCATGGTGTGGGCAGGCTGGCTCCTCACGAGGTCTCTGCAGAAGGAGCTCCTCCAGCTCCCTCCTGGCTTCTGCCCACCATCACTGGCATCCTTCAGCTTGCAGACTTATCCCTCAGTCTCTGCCTCCACCTTCTCCCTGAGAGTCTGTGTCTCTTCTCATGAGGACACCGGCTACTGAGTGCCGGCCCAGTGACCTCACCTTGACGTGGTGCCACTCGCAAAGAGCCAATGTCCACATGAGCACGATTTACGGCAGCCACGTGATGATACAACCCAAGGGCGCGACGACAGATGCGTGGATGAAGAAGATGTGATATACGTGCACAGTGGAATCTACGCAGCTGTAAAAAGGGACAAACCATTGCCATTCGGGACAACATGGAAGGGACTGGAGTGGATGATGCTAAGTGGAGCTAAGTCAGAAGGAGAAAGACAAACACCAGATGACTTCACTCATGGCGGAATACAGAGAAACAGACAAAGGAACAGACCAAGCTAAACCAGCACAAGCCTTAGCAACAGGCCAGCAGGACTGAGGGTGCCGGTGGGGTGGGAGGGGAGGCCCCCAGGGACCACGGGGTGGGTGGTGACAGCCATCTGAGGAGGTGTGAACCTGCACCCCTAAATCATGCACAGTGTTATAAACCAATGTTACCTCAATAAGAAAGGTAACAACTTTTTCTCAGAACAGAAAGAGCCCCAGGGACACAGGTCTCCTAGATATGGGTCCAGCACACCCTCTGCACCATCTGTTTTGGTCCCAGAAGTAACAGACCATCTTCCATCCCCTAAGATTTCATCCCAACTGTTTTCATCTTGAAAGCGTGAAACTGTGCACAGAAACACTCAACCCCGGCTGGTCTCCCAACTTTGAATTCCTGAATAAAAACGGTGAGCTCGTGTTTAACAAGAAGGTCAGGAACTATATCTATAGTCACTGGAGTCTTAATATTACTGCAATTACAGCTAATCCAATTCACAGCCGTCGCTGACAGCTGTGGTGCTTGAGGGGTGCTTCACGGGGCCGGCAAAAAAAAAATAAAAAAGAAAATGATTTGTTGTGTGTGTGCATTATTCATATATTTATTTTCCAGTGTTTTGCATGAGAAGACCTTAGCTACCTCAGCTGCAGAGAGGAAGGTACCTAGTTTCAAATCTTACACTCAATTTCTTATTTAAAAACAATCAGGTATGGAAAACTGACATTTTTTTCTCTTAATATCCTTTTAAATGAAATTAAAGACACCCCTCGCTCTCACAAACACCACGACCCCAGGAGGAGGGATGGGTCTGGATGTGCCACCGCCAGCCCAGTACTGCTGGGAGGCACAACAAACCAATCTTCCCTTCTTTTGGAAGGGAATATATTCGAACATATTCTTTATATTCGAAGAAACTCTGAAATCTGGTCACGGTGTGCCTCTTATGAGCCCAATATTTTATTATCAAGATTCATAAATTACACAGCATTGAGATAAAAAATGCATAGCTCAGAGTTACCAGGGCTTTTATATGCCCCCAAGAGGTTAATACTGAACGTATCAGATGTAAAATTCGGGAGGGTGACTGGGCTGCGGGACTCATCAAGGGCTCGGAGGCGTAATACAGATAATTCCTCTGCTGTGATGCTTTGAACTGCAGTTAATGATTATTATAGATGAAAGAGAATGCAGCTTCCCACCCCATCCCCCCAAAGATTTACATGTGAAATTCCAAGGCCAGCAGGTAGAAGTCTGAAGTGGGGCAGGTTTGTCCTCAATCTCCCCCTAACTTGTTTTACATTCAAGGAGGGGGTTTTTCACGACGATGAGGAGCGAAACACACAGAGGATGCAACATCTGACTCCCTTCCTACTTTTCTCGAAGGCTTGCTTTGGGTTTTTGCTCCCCTTCTGTGCGTAGTCATGTGTCTGGAAAGCAGCACAGTCAGTTTTGCTAAGTTGAGAAGAGACAGCTGGTCCCAGGTCTCTTCATCATCGTATAAACCAAACTGTCAACACAGCATAAACCAGATGCCGCCACCCTTGGAGAAATGCACAGAAGGAAAGACTATACTCTTGTCCTCACCTGGACACACTCCGTGCCAAGGGATCTGCTGGCCCAGCCCACTGAGGCCATTGAGGCCCAGGCCACTGAGGATGAGACGTGCCTGGCTGGAGAACTGAAGCCACCAAAATACTCTATCATGAAAATTAGCACCGTCCCTGCACAGGGGACCAGTCTTGTGCCTTGACACAGTTTCATAAAGAAAGAGAACACACTAGGCCGCCCACTAGTGAGGGCGACGGAGCATATACTGCCTGACATACGGATGTACCCAGTGTGCTCACCTCACACTTCCAGTAACTTCCTATTCCTGAGAGATGCACTTTCATGCACAGCTACCATTGGGTGAAGAGCTCTCACTACTACTAAGCGCTCTGCAAGTCTGGATTACATTGAGTCATCAAAGGTAATGGAATAAACTAATGGGTGGAATGTCCGCCTCCTCGTCAATTGCCTTGATTCCAGCTTCTCCCCTCTCATTTTCCCCCACATTCTAAGCACTGGATGAAGGGCTTTGCTTCTCCAGGACCTGTACTAGGCCCACGGAGATCCAACTTTTACCTTCAAGGGCCTTCAATGTTGGGGGTAAGGTCTACTCTGCAAATTGAACATTTACCAAAAAATTGGTAAACTCTCGACACTAGAGATTGGAACAGGAATAAACAGTAAGAAACCAGGAAAATGACTCTACATTTATTAATCAATTATTTTAAGCAATTAACAAGTGGATATTATATTAGAGATATTTTGCTCTGGGGAAAAGTATTATTTTCCCCTTAGTTAGAAAAGTTAGATAAGTTTTCAAATCCAGTGAACTCAAGGTACCTACTTGTGAACAGATTTCTGCAAAGCTACAGCGACTGAGTCTCACCTTATGATAACACCTAAAATACGCAGCACGTTCATCGGAAAATTTCTCCAGTCTTTTTGGACCCTTGCTTGAAGCCTTCTTGAATACTAACCAGCATCGTTGATAAATCTGCAAAGAAGGACAAAGACTGAACTCAGCATCACACCAACTCAGATGTCACTGACATTTGCATTTACGTGTATCTTTTTTTGATGTTCTCACCTGTAAAATATTCATAACTCATAAATGTGATTTTGCTTTGGGAAAATAAAATTTTAAAACCCCAGATTGGTTCCACAATAAGAGTATTATGTCATTTAGTCAATTATTGAATTCTAAGGAAAATGAGCATTTGAGGGCAAATTTCAAGTTTTGATAAGAGTATCAGTAGGAATATATCAGAACAAATCCTAGAGGTAAAAAGTCCAGATCAGCACAAGTAAAACAGGCACTTGAGCACATGCTCTAGCTTCAAATTAAATCAAATATGAAATGATAAGCCTGATGTATGCCAACAGCCTACATCACAGGCAGTCCTGGACGCATACTGTATAACTGATGGTTAAGAGCTACAGCAGGGCCTCCCTGTTGGCTCAAGGGGTAAAGTTCAGCATTATGAAACCATGGGCAGCCACTGTGGCCTGAGCTCTATCCCCGGCCAGGGAGCTGACCCACAGGGCTCAGCAGACCTCTCCTGTCTCCCCGCTGTTCCCCTTAGCAGACAATCCCCTTATTTCAGTCAATCCACCTGTTCTGTTCCCCACTCTGCCTCTAGTGGATCCCCTCACCACCACCTCCACCTCTGGTCTACACCCCAGCTCTTGAATGCATAAATAAATAAATCTTAAAAAAGGGAGCTGGACCAGGTACTAGACTAGCTAATAATTGGCTGATCAATGCCAACTAGATTCTCCCTCAGAAAATTCAACCCAAAGAATCCAAGATTATTGCCAGATATGACCTGAGGTTGGTGGCCACGTTGAATCATGTGCACAACAGTTAAATGGCAGAAAAGAGTACAGAGAATTAATGTCTACTTTACGCAGAAGAGATATTTTTATTTTTTTAAATTTATATTTCCGTAGAGAAACAGGATGATTAATGCATTGTCAATAAGAATATAAAATGGGGGCCTCCCCGGTGGCGCAGCAGTTGAGCGCTGGGTTGTGAGGCGGCCCGCGGCCTCTGTGGCGCCGGTTCGATCCCCGGCTGTTCCCCGGCCACCGGAGGAGGGTCCCGCATGGCACGCAGACCTCTCCTGCCGCCCGCTGCTCCCCTCAGCAGTGTATTTAAAAATAAAAAAAAAAAAAAAGAATATAAAATGGCCCAAAAATATCATCGGTGTTCACTGCAGATTTATTTGTATCAGCACAAACTGGAAGCAAGACCCGTATCTTTCCATGGGTGATCCCCGGGTGAATAAGCAAACAGATGATGACACATGTGTATCACAGAATAGTACTTAGCAATAAAAACAAATGAATGATTGATACTGCAATGCTTTGAATTAATCTCCAGAGATTACGCAGAATGGCGATAAAACCAAATCCAAAAATAACATATTCTATGGCTGAATTTATAGCATCCTTGAAATGACAAAATGATAGAACTGGAAGCCAGATTTGTGGTTTTCGGGGGCTGGAGGGGGGAGTAGAATGGAGGATGTGCTATAAGGGATGATGGGACTGCCCTGGGTCCTCACTGTATTAATGCCAATGTCATGTTTACGACCTCACACTGTCGTGTCGCCACTAGGGAACCAGACAAAGTGCACAAGACCTTTGTGTGGCATTTCTTACAACTGAATCAGAATCTACAATTACCTCAGAATAAACTGTTCCAATTATTTATGGAAAAATTTAGTGATACTGAATCAACCTCTTAAAAGGACAGCCAAACCAATCTGCTCCAACCCCACGTCGTGTGTTCGCAGACCCGAGGCTGTACCTCCACTGAACAAAGAAACATCTAGAAGGGCAGAGTCACTGGTAAAAGCTCAAACACAAAATTCTTTCAGGCTGAAGAATCAACCATGAGAATTAACATTCCCAACAGTATGGCTGGCAAATAAAAGTCTTCCGACATCTCACTTATGTCTGAATAACAGATGAGACAACAGACTCCCTTAAAGCTTGACCGCTACCCGGGGACTGTAATTACAGTGGGGATGATTGTCACTCTGATTGTTCAAAGAAAAGGTTTAGAAATGGGCTTCTTACTGGCATTCTATTACTGGCAAAGCCTTTTCTTTTGTTCCTGTCCCTGATATGAGTGCAGAAATTGAGCATGCTAGAGATGCACAAGAAATCTGTGCACTGTGGGAAAAAATTATTTTCATTAAGAAAGATATTCTGAATTTCCTAATTATGCTTCACCTTTGAGACCCAATCTTGAATGATAGCGTCTCAAGTTTCTTTTTTATAAAACATGTTCATTTTCACAATCAAACTGGTATTTTTCTAGCTTCTGTTCAAAGGCTATTGAATGCAAGCTAAAGAAAGATTCCTCAATTTCGGCATACCTGATGATTTCCATCTTTACTCTGATCCATCTGTAGTAAGTCTGAAGAAGAAATTTATTTCTCAGTTTTTGTCTTTATTTTGTTTTACTAAGTAGTAAGGGCAAAAATGCAATATTATAACCAAATAACTGCAAAAATACAATCATGCAAATTCACTCCCCACATGGCTTACAGCGATTGGCTGGGAAGTCACCAGGGAATAGATTAAAATGTGCTGGTCCATCCGGAGATAAGGAAAACCAAATCTGGTTTATGCAAAGGGACTGTTTGTAACATACAAGCACATGGTACAAACATCAACAGTGCCAAAGTCGAGAGCGATTTGTGGGATTACCCGCAGCATACGATGTGATTCTCAGAGTTGGTCCAGCCTCACCCATGACTTTTGTCATGTATGCAGATTCCCAGAGATTAGCCAAGGTCTACAGAGCCAGAGCCTCTTGGGGGGAGGCCAGGTACATCTGCTCTTTAACACCTTCCCAGGTATTTTGTTTGTCATTTGCAAACCAATTCATGGACAATCATAAAGACCTTCAGATGACACGATGTTTCCCACTTGGAACTCCAACAAAGTTGGAGTGCATCATGATGGGGGCCTCTGTGATGGGTGGTTTCCAGCAAGTGGGACCCAGTGGCAGTGCTGGACGCTGTCTTGATATGAGAGACATTGAAGGTGAAACTTCAGTCCGCTGAGCTAAAGTAAACTCCCAATTCCAACTGCCACACAGTCTGCATCTTAGGAACACCAGAGGAACCAGCTAATACCAGAGGATTAAACACTTATCCTAAATATCTCAGGACTGTTCACAAGAAATGAACCAGGAGGGTCCGTGAGCAGGGGAACGTGTGCAGACTAGCTGGATTATACTGACATTGCTAAAAGGATGATAATTTGAGAATAACCCCATTTGTTTAATAGTTTAGTGCATTATTTTTTAAAATTCATTCATTCAACCTGCTCCTTTACATTTTATTGAACACATTTATCATCTATTTTAGTTTTCTTTTAATTGACTTTCTTTAAAAACTAATTCTGTTTTATTTAAAAGACACTGACCACTGACCCAACTTTCACCGACCAGAGAGAGGTGGTAACCCATTAGTTGAAACCCAGTAAATACACTGTTAGAGAATTTATGGCAGAATCATCCTCATATTAAAGTGTTAACCCCTGGCATTGGCTGTGCTGGTCCTCTGTGCCCTGAAGAATGCCAGGCCCTTCCTGGGCATGACCTCAGTGAGTCTCCCCCAACTCCTCCCTGAGGCCAGTGCTGTCATCATCCTTCACAATAATGAGCTACAGTGGCAGGGAGGTTCCTTGCTAAGCATTCCTCGAGGGGACAGGACTCTAGAAATGAGCCAATCTCCTAATCTCAAGTTTGTCTGACTCAGGAGAACCAGCTCTGAACCATTTCCCCCCAGAATTTTCCCAGAAAGGTTGGCCTCCTAAGGAGGCACAGACTTCTGCTGAGGGTCAAGCCTTCTGTATGAAGTAGCATTTTGCACTTATAATCTAGAAAAGGACATTAAATTGTAACCGTATGCTCTTTCATCTGGACAGCTACTTTACAGCCTATTTCAGTGTGACATTTGCATTTGTGATTTTAAATTCCCTACTGCCGAGCATTCCCCAACAGAGATGGTTTCTAATGGAGCATTTCCACACCTGGAGTCCTGGACCCCAAGGCATCCAAGCAGTCTGCAAAAAGTGTTTGCTTTAAGAAGGCGCCCACCCACTCTCCTTCAGCGACACAGTCCTCAGCATCCTTCACACAAGTCCACAGGCCCAAACATACTAAGTCTGCTGGCAACACGGAAAGTATCTCATGCAACTTCTCAGATTTTTCTGACTTCCCTTGCCTACATAACCTTCAGCATCTTGCTCCTACTTAGTTATGGCTGCGGTAACTACATCCAGGCTAAATTACTCCCTGCTGGTCTGGATAGTTGGCTATGTAGGCTGACCAGTGACTTCTCTAAGAGGCCAGCTCTCCACCTGGGCCATGATGCATGGCCAGAGTAACCAGCTGCCTCCCCATGTGTTGGCTCCTCTGCCACTTTGAGGCTGATGAAATGCGACAGTCCAACAGTTCTCCAACAGCCACAATATGGCGCTAGAGATGCTATCTGGAAGTGGAGGAGACTTTAACCAAGGAGAAGCAGCAGGCAGGAATCAACCCAGGAGATGATGCCTCCGCCACCCTGTCTGTCATTGTTTGCAAAATTCTCTTTCCACACTAGAAGAAATCTGACCTGGCTGAAGCCAGGTTTATATTTTATATTTATTTCTGAAGCCATGATGTTTATATTTTTCTAGTCCTAGAAACGACTTCTTCATGGTGGAATTTCAGAAAGTGATAGATGAAGAGGATTTACAAAAGGAGTTCTTTGACATCTTTGAATCATAATGCTCATGCTGCTACCAACTCCAATTACTAAAATAATGAGCTGGCTCAAAATTAAATCTTTTATGGGGAAAAAAAATATTTCCAATGCGTAAACAACATAAGCTAATGCCTATCATTTATATATACCTTTCATTTGCAAGGAAAGAAAAGCTAATTTGGAGAAGGTTATACAGTGGGAGCAAGGCTCATTTTAAATTCAC